GACTTGCAAGTAGGATTTTTTTTGGGCCAGACTTGCAAGTAGGATATTAACTCGAGCATTGATTTAGTAAACCTGTAAGTATTAGATTATTTAAATCCCGAGATTTTAAATTTATTAGTTGAATAAGATTTTATCATTTATTTATATTAATTAAAATATGCTATTATTAAATTAAATTAAACTGTATTCATTATATTATTAATACATTAATTTAATTATGCGTTATTAAATACTAAACAATAACAATTAAATCCCTAATTTTTAAAACTTTTTTAACCCTTTTAGATTAATCAAATCATTACTTACACATTATTAGTATCCAATTAATTTAATTGAGTAAAATTTAAAAATTATTAAATACAGATAATTATCTTAAATAAAATTAAATAACAAGTAATATCAGCTAATTTAGTTTCCAATTAGCTAATAAACCGATTATTAATTTCAGATTTTAAGATTAATATAGTTGGTGATATTTATTATATTACTTAATCTATATCAGTTTTTAATTTGATTAATTAACCTTTATGTATAATATAATAACAGTTAATTTTACTAATAAATTACTAAGTTGATCATAAATAATTTTTATTTGAATAAGACTACAGAGGAGTTGAAGGTTAAACTATATTATGGAGCAGTTTAGAGTTCTAAATATTTCACTTGAGCATATCTTAAAATTAGATATATAGAGTGTAATTTTAATAGTAATTATATATAGTGAGGGATTTATTGGATTTGGGTGATCAAGTATTTAATAAGGATTACATGTTTTTAGTATATATTGAATTATTGTCAGTGATAATGATAAGATGAGGATATTATCAACATTAATGCAAGTTGGATATGGTTGAAGTAGGAAATGCATTGGGCTTGATGTGTGTAGAAAGTCCCATTCAAATTAAGGAAAAAAATTCATAAGATTATGTGAGACCTGCAATGCTTTTATGGCGTCGAATGTTGGCCATTAAAAGAGAAGCTTAAACTAAGTTAAGTATTGCGAGATGAGGATACTCAGTGTGGATGAGTTGATTTTACTTCATTGAGATAGGATACAAATGAGCATATTCGTGAAAAAGGTTGAACAGTAACTCTAGACTCTAGAGGAAGATAAGATTAGAAAGAGTCACTTAGATGGTTTGGTCACATAAAATTGACGGCCTTCCGACTTTTCCCCCCCCCCCCCCCCCCCCCCCCCCCCCCCCCCCCCCCCCCCCCCCCCCCCTCTAGTTAAGAATAATAGAGTATTAGATTTGACTATATGTTAAAAAAAGTTAGATTAAAACTTAAAATATTTTAGTTAAAAAATATTAGAAATTGATATTTTTTTATTTAGATTTAAATAAGAATTTGACTTTTAATAGGGATAAATGGAGAAAAATGATTCATGTAGCCTACCCCACGTAGTGGGACCAAGGCTTGATACTTGTTGTTTGTGTTCTCAAAGTTGATATATTTAAATTTATTTATATTGATTTAATTTTGTGAATTAATATTTCATATATCTAATTTGTTTTATTGAATATTAAATTAAATTTTTATCAATTCTAATTACACTATAAATTATAATTATCATAACATAATTATTTTTAATTTATCATAAATTAAAAATTTATAAATCTAATCAAATATAACACTATCTAATAAATTAAATTAAATCATATAATATTAATTTAATAAATTTAGTTAATTAATATTAAAAATATAATTAATTTTAAATCATTATATTATCAATTTTTCATATTATTTGAAATCGCCATCTTAATTTACATTACATAAAAAATTATGATGGGAGCTCATTTAGTATTTATCGGTGATTATAACCGCACTATCAAAATGGTGAAATAAATAATTTTTTAGACAATTTTATTATTTATTATTAATTTTAAATTTATTCTCATTTATTGTTTTTTCTTAATTTTAGAATCATGTTTTTTCTTATTTTTAATTAAATTTACTGAGATATTATAGCGAAATTTTTTAAAAATATATTACTTTTCCTTCAAGCCTATGCAGCATCGCACCTACGTGCATTTCTAAAATTCTGTTTACCTTGCTCCCGCGAACAATCTCGGATTTAACGGATCCACGCGTGTTGAAATTGGGAATCTGGAATCTTTGTCACCGATATCGCTTCGTGCCCCAGGGCCCGAAAAGATCCAATACCACATCGCCGATATTCCTTCCCTCATCAAAAGCTTACTTCAAGCGCGGCAGATTCCGGAAACCCTCACCAAACCGCGATATCGTTCCTCCTCGCTTTCATCCGCTTTCTTTTTTGCTTCTGCAGTTTCCTCTTCCAAGCTGAAGCGAGCTCTGCTTCCCTTAAAAGAAACATTATTCTTTACGACGAAGTTCTCGTTCCGGTGATAAAACCCATATTGGGTCATGCCACCCCGTCGCTCATACCCTGCTCTTTATTGTTCGATATCTGTGAGGCTCATTCTGGTTGCTCCGATGTGTTCTTCATCTAGTTCTTCCCCATAGAATAATTTTCTCCCCCTCATAGGGTCTGTTGGATGGCACAGGATTTTAATAGAGTAAAATTTTTTAAATTCTTAAATCTAAATCCTAAGGGCTGTTTGGTAAGCATGATTTAGGGCATCTCCAAACCGACTCCAACGCTTGAATTGGAGCTCCCGGCCAGGCTCCAGCCGAACTTGCAAAATCGCTATATGCTGCGGGTGAATTGTGGGACGTCAATATTGACGTTGGCACTGTCATCCCCGCCATTTTACCGCTCTACCGAACTTGTCGCGGGAAAAAAAGAGTGCGACGATTTTAACTGCTAAAAGCTGTAAAAACGCGTTCCATTGGAGATGAATCACGGCATTTGTTAGTTTCCGGCATTGGAGTGAAAATGAGATTTTCGGTTGGAGATGATCTTTAGGCGGATTTGAGGAGGGAATTAGCGTGAATCCAACCAAACGGCTTAAAATGCAAAAACCAAATCTCAAGGTAAATTGAAAACCACCGCTGACAAAAAATTCAACCTTTTTGTGCCTAATTCCCGAATTTCTAAAAATCCTATTTTTTTTGTAGGATTTATTGAATTTCGGTGGCTAAAGAGGAAGAGTCCAATTATTTAATTGGTTCTATAGTAAACAGTCACACTAATTTTTAATATGATTTTATTATGAAGTTATCAAACCGTTTTATGATTTGTGCCCCTCAGATTTCTGAAATCCAGATTTAACGCATTTCTTGAAAACGGTTTTGTAACATTTAATATAAAATAAATAAAAAAAATTTTTGTGAACTATTGAATTCATTCAATATTACAAATTTATTCTAAATAATTAAAGTATTACAAGAAGTTTAAAATAAATTATAACAAAATTTTGTTAATACTAATAAAGTTCTATCTAATTAGTTAATTTGTTATTATTTAAACATTATAATGAATTATTTTCATTAAAATCATTTAATTCATATTATTTTTTAGAAAGAATTAAGTATTTACTAAAATCTTTATTATAATTTAATTAAGTATATTAATATTATTATTAGTTTTCACTAATTATTAATATTTTTAATTTATATTAATTAAGTGTATCCAAACCAACTTAGAGAAGTCTAGGTTTTTGCCTTTTCCTTCTGTATTTCGTTCGCTCATCCTTTGCATGCGTTGTTGTGTTTTGCACGAGTTCCTACTTTGTCGCTTTCGACCTCGCTCTTCGACGACGTTCCCTTCCTGTTGAGATCGGAAGTTTTCGACATTTTTTGATTCGGAGCAACAACGGGAGCTCTTTGCTTTGTAAGGTAACTTTCTCTCTTTTCGCGCGCTTCTTTTGCCAAATCCCGTATAGTCCGCCCCGAAACCAAATGGATTTTCGCTAAATCCGAGTGAATACGGAATTTTCCAATATCTCTCAACCGCTGGCTTTTGATTTACCGCTGAGATTTTGTTTACATTTTTGCGTTTTGGCTGGATTAGCTCAAACCCGTTCTAAACCCTGCTCCAAAAGATCCCCAAAGTCTTCTAATTTTGAGACATTTATTTCCTTTCAGTTTCTTCGGGAGTATTATTGTACCGCGACTGATCCAAGCTGGTTTGTCTCGCGATCGTTCATTGGTGATAGAGTTCGGCGAATTTCCGACTTCATCAGCTGTTAGCAGTAGCGGTCTATTCTTTTTCAAGTTGCCTACTCGATCTATCAGGACTTGGATCTGACGTTTGAAGGTAAT